AAGAAGAGTCACAACAAGACAGATGCAACACCAGAGCTATGTACTTATGGCTTCATATTGACCCAACTGGGAAGAGTACACTGCTGGTATTGGCCCTTCTTAGCCACAGAAGGGCCACGTAAAACATCATGATGACCATCCTCCATTCAGTCCCACAGCAGCTCGACCTCCTTGCTCACCACCAGGGAAGGAAAAGGGGCTGAGTTGCCCATTGGAGCCTTTCGACCACAAGCTCAGTTCTGGCTCTGTAGCCATTGGAAGAGGCCTTTTCCTCACCATGCAGTAAGTGAGCAGGAACCAGTCATGGCTTACTTGAATGTACTCTGAAGGTCACGCATTGGAGGAAGTGCACTGAACTTGTCTGTGGGGACTAGACCGTCACTGGCATATTTCCCATTATGCTTAAATTAGACCCTCTTTGTAGTCAATGAGTGACTCATCTGTCCATAGCTATTGTTATTACTAGCTATTATTGTTATTATTTTGTATATGTTTATAGTGGTGTGTAAATTACTTAGAATGAGCAATAAGTTAGAAATGGTTTCATTGGTCAGCAATGGTCATAGGTATGTGCTTCTACTGATAACAGACTGCCTCGGAAAACCTAGCCTTGACCAGATCACACTAGGTTGAGCCGTTTTCCCCATTTTTAGGTAGTTCTCTGTCACTTGCTAGATTTGGTTCCATATACATGTGTTTCATTATTCTCTTCTATTGTGTTTTTTAACTCCCATAGATTTAGAGTTGTAAATTACCTTAAAGGCCGTCCAGTCTAAGCCTTTCATTTTATAGATGAGGAAACTGAGGTCCAAGTGTGTGAGGCAGGATTTGAACCCAGGTCTTCCTAACTTTAAGACCAGCACTTCTTCTACTTAGATATTGCTCCAAGGAAACATACAAAATATGTGGTCTGTAAGGAGAAAATTTCAGTTGAATGTTGAATGCATTCCATCAGCTTTTGGTGTGAGAAAGTCAAGGATCATTCAAGCTCATGATGAGACCATCAGTCTCACCAAAGAACAAGGGAAAGGACCTTCTGAAATTAAAAACAAAGCCAAGAATGAACTATTTCTGTACAAACCTCAAAATCCTCAGAAAGCCCACACAGAAGGCCCTGGGAGCTGGAGGGGCTCTCATTGATTCCTCTACTGTACTTCTGGAAGCTAGAACATCAAGAACACCCTTTTTTAACTGCTCCTAACTTTTAATATAAAGAAAAGGGCTTGTCATAGGCAGTACAATACAAAGACTAGAGCGCTCAGTATTGGAAAAACATCATTTTACTGATAAAGCCCATTTTTTACTTTTAAGACTATGTCAAAACCATTCTTAGGAGCAGTCCAGGTAAACCTATAAGATTTTCATCAGGCTGTAAAACATGCAACCCAAAATGGGCCTTGGGGATCTTTTCTTACTGCCAGTGGACCTAGAGGTCTTTTTTCTCATTGAAGGAATGATGACCTCTGATAAATACACCATTATGCTGAAAAGCAGAATTGCCCTGGAATTAAGTACAGAAATTCCCTAAATGGAGATGGACTATTGCAGTACAACCTTGTACCAAGCAACACGTAACAAAAGGTTAAGAAATGTATCCAAGAGATAGAGATCAATGTACTTCAATGATCTGATTTAAATTCCGTTGAAAATCCATGGATTATAATCAGTGATAGACTTGGGGGGGATGGATTGTTCATCAAAGGCATATACATAATGTCCAATGCAATTTTTTTTAAAAGTATGGTTTCATAATGAAGAAATAAGAATGTGCCGAAAAATCTCATGTACTCAATAAGCAGGTAGATGATACAGTGAATGGAGTGCTGGGCCTGGAGTGAAGAAGACCCGAGTCTGAATCTAACCTCTGAAACACTGGAAAAGCCATTTCATCTCAGTTTCCTCAACTGTAAACTGAAGAGAAGAATAATACTTACTTCTCAAGATTGTGGTGAGGATTACATGAGGGCATATTTGCAAAGTGCCTGATATGGAGTCGGTGCTGTAATAAATTAATAAATGCTCCTTTCCTTCCTTCCAAATCATGCAAAAAAAGGAAGTGCAACAATAAAAGTTTCTTAACAATGTAAAAAGTTATGACATATTGTATAAGTTGCATTAGTGAGTTTTTTTTCTTTTCTTGCATATATCTAGGCCTCCATCTCACCTCCTGGCCACCAGGTTCAAACCTTGAGGTACCATAATGCCCTATTCCAGCTCTCCTTTGCGTATTGTCTTCCCCCCTTTAGAATGTAAGCTGCTCGAGGGCCAGGATTGTCTTGCTTACTGTATTCGTACATTCATATCCCTAGTGCTTAGCCCAATGCCTGGCACAGGCTTAATGAATGCTCTATCAATCTGCCAAAATATATGATTATTTTACTTTGTCCCAAGCAATTCACACACCACAGTATCTGTTTACGTATTGTTTATTCTGATAAAATGTAAACTCTATGAGGACAGGGATGATTTCATTTTTGTCTTCATGTCTCCAGCACCTAGCATGTTACTTGGTATATGGTGGACACACCAATGTCAACGAGAGACAACATCTTTTCTGTTATCTGTCAAATGCTCAAGAGGAAGACACTGAAGAGTGAACAAGCCTGGTGAGATTCTCACACTAACTTCAGCAATAATATGCTGAGCAACTTTCAGAATCTACTAGTCCTCTTTGAGTGCTTTCATTACTGTTCCCATTTTACAGAGGAGGAAACTGAGGCCCAGGAAAGTAAAGTGACTTTCCTAAGGTCATATGGGTAGTAAATAGAAGAGCCAGAATTTGAATCCAGGTCTTCTGGCTCCTAATTGAGTGTTCTTTCTCCTACTCAATAGTACCTCTCATTTGCAACTGGGAAATAAATTGAAGCCCCCCGGAGCCCTGAAGGATTACACTTGTGCTGTTGGCCCAACAACTATAAGCATCATGGGGAGGCGGAAAGCCTGACTGCCCCAAGACACCAAGAACAACCAGGATGGTGTGTTTTCAGCAGCTCTCTTGAGGATCCACTACTTCCAGAGGATTGAAGTGGTCCACCCATTATCAGCCAGGCTTCTTCCAGTAACAGTGTGACACAATGACAAGAGCCCTGGATTTCAAGGCAGAGAAAATCAGTCAATCAATGAGCATTTACTATGTACCAAGCACTGGGTATAGAAAGGAAAGCAAAAAAGGTAGTCCTAGTCTTTGAAGAGCTCATGTTCTAACTGGGGAGACAAATACGTGCAAATAGCTATGGGTATACAAAATATATCCAGCGCAAATAGAAGGTAATCTCAGAGGAAAGAGGTGTGGGCTCCGACCCCATCTCAAGTATTTATGGAATCAAAGAATCACAGAATTTTAGAGTTAAGGCTAACGTGGCAGTCTAGTCACACTCAAAAGGAACCCCCACTAGGAAAGTGGTAGGTCAGTTTCTGCTTGACATCATCTAAAGAAACAGAAACCACCACTTTCTTTTTCTTCTTTTTTTTTTTTTGCAATTAGGGTTAAGTGACTTGCCCAGGGTCACACAGCTAGTAAGTGTCAAGTGTTTGGTCTGAGGCCGGATTTGAACTCAGGTCCTCCTGACTACAGGGCCGCTGCTCTATCCACTGTGCCACCTAGCTGCCCCAAAACCACCACCTTCTAAGGAAGTTTATTCCACTTTTGGACAACTCTGATTATTAGGAAGTTGAATTTTTTCCCCTGTCATCAAGCCTAAATGTTCCTCTTTGAAACTCCTGCCCTTATTACTTGATATAAAGGAAAAGATGTTGGATTTTTACCCAAGGGACCTGGATTCAAATCACCTGGGTCTCAATTTCCCCATTTGTACAATGGGGGAGGGGTCCCCCAGCACTTCTTAAATTGTGGGTTGCAACCCCATATGGGATTGAAAATTTTGGCAACAGTAAAAGGTTTCTGAGAACACAATGACCAAAAATTAATTAAAAATCAAATGCATAATGAATATGAGGTGTTTCTAGTAGCTCTTGCCTGTGTTGCACAACACAACTTCACTGTAGCTCTGAGCACACAGCATGTGCACTTTGCACTGGTGCCAGGCAATGCCAACCAACGCTGCTGAAAGGTGAAAAGGGGTCTGCAGTGGGAAAAGCTTGAGAAGCCCTGGTCTAGATGATCCTTTTATATCTCTAATCTTTTGCAGCTCTCAATTCTAGAATCTTTAGATATGTGAGAGGAACTGATGTCCCAAGAACAGAGAGGAACATGTGTTAGGGTAGATCTGTGATCTTCTCTACAGCCATGGGTGCTCAGTAGGCCAGGTGTGTGTGATTGGAAGCTGTGACTCACATGACAAGGCTCTCAGAACCCATACTAGGAACAATGATGCTGAAATATTCAAGAATCCACTTGATTATTTATGAGACATTTACTTTGGGTAAATACTGCCTTCGTGAAGGCACAGAGCTGCCTCCAGGGGCCATGAAATATTGTCTGGCAGATTGGTGAAGGCTCTCAGTCATTTAAAGGGTTTTATCATGCTGCCTGGAGAGTGTTCCCGATGAGGTCCTCTGATGATACATGAATAAGCCAGACGCCTTTAAAATACAGCCACTGAGCATTTTCTTTAGCTCTGAAGCCTGCCCTCGACAAAGGCAGGCTAAGAATTATGGGCATTTGTACATTGCCTTGAGATCTGAAGAGTAGCTGGCTTCCATCAATAGTTTGATTGAATGGGAAGAGCATTGATTCTAGGATCAGTTCAGTCTAGAGTCAGGACCTGAGTTCAAATGCTGCCTCTGATGCTTTTTACCTGGGTGACATTAGGCAAGTCATTAAAATTCTCCAAGTCCTAGTTCCCTCATCCCTACTATGAGAAAGTTCAACTAGATCAGCAGTTTGGGGTCTCGGCATGCCTTCACACTCTTAAAAATTGAGGACCCCAAAGAGCTTCTGTTTTGTGGGTTATCTCTATTGATATCACTGGATCAGAAATTAAAACTGATACGGGTTCAAAATGTTTATTAATTCATTTAAAAATAATGTTAAATCCATTACATGTTAACATAACATATTTTATGAAAAATAATTGTATTTTCCAAAACAAAGAAAATCTAGTGAGAAGAGTTAGCAGTGTTTTACCCTTTTTTTTGCAAATCTCTTTAATGGCTGGCTTAATAGAAAACAGCTGTATTCTCTTATGTGCCTCTGCATTCGATCTTGCTGTGATTGCAAGAAATGTGATATGTGGTTTTGATTGAAGTATATGAAGAAAATCTGGCCTCTCATAGATATGTAGTTAGAAAGGGGAGGAGTATTTTAATAGGCAAATAACATCTTACTATTATTAGAAAAATAGTTTTGACTTCAAAGATCTCAGGAGTCAGAGGACTACACTTAGAGAACCACTGTACCAGATGTCCCCCTCCCCTCTCCGCTCCCCCCCCCCCGTAAGCCTCACGCCAACCCTGGGGAGGCAGGAATTACAAGGACTACCAGCATTCCCAGTTTAGAGGAAACTAAGAGGTAGAACAATGAGGGCCTTTTACCGGTGACCATGCTGTGAATAAGTGTTGGAAGCAAGATTCAAACTCAGGTCTCCCCCAGTAGGTCAACTAGTATTTATTAAGTCCTACTAAGTGCTAAGTGGTAGGGATACAAAGAGAGTCAAAAGTCAGTCCCTGCTCTCAAGGAGCTCACAGTTTAATTTGGAAGCCAACAAACAAACCACCAAATAAAAACAAGGTGTTTTGTATACAAGGCGTCCCAAAAGCCTTAACTTGGTCTCAAGCTATTAAAGCTTAAAATTGAAGAAAGACTTTTGGGACACCCCATACAGGACAAATTAGAGATAACACCAGCACTAAGGGGAATCAGAAATGGCTGAATGCAGAAGATGGAACTTTGGCTGTGCCCTGAAGGAAACCAGGGAGGCGGAGATGAAGATGGAGAAAGTTCTAGGCATGGGAGACAGCCAGGAGGTGTTCAGAGTTGGGGGATGGATTCTCTTGAGAGAGGAACAGCAAAGAGGTCAGCATCACTGGATCACAGAGTACTGTATGTGGTGGGAGGGGAATGTCAGGTGTGAGAAGACTAGAAAGGTCGAAGGAAGCAGGTTAGAAAGGGCTTTATGAGCCAAACAGAGGTGTTTACATTTGCTCCTTTTTAAGAAGCCATTGATTTTTACTGACTAGGAGATGACATCGTCAGACTAGGGCTTTAGGAAAATCAATTGGACAGCTAAGTGGAGGAAAGACTGGAGTGGGAGAGACTTAAACAGACCAACAGGTAGTCCATTGCAATGATGTAGGCATGAAGTGATGAGGGCCTACACCAGCGTCATGTCTAGTCTGATCTGTTCCATTACTGACCGAACTCTGGTTCGGATACACGTGAACTTCAGAATCATAGAATGGAAGGAAAGGAAGGAAACAGAGATTCTCTAGGCCAACCATCACCATTTTACAAAAGAGGAAACTGAGCTTCACAGAAAGAAAGAGGCTTGCCCAAGGTACACAACTTAGTTAACTATTGTCAAAACTACTGACTCCAGGATGAGCTTCAAGATGATAAACAAAGAAAGCTCAATGAAGAAAATCTCCCACACTGGAATCTTCCTTCCCTGACTCCCTCCCTCATCCTTAGAGTGCTTGGACACCAAGGGTTTGAGTGGGAGTGCTGTCCCAGGTCCTGACCCATTGACTGTTCTCCACTCATTCTCGGATGACAGGATAGACTCTACTCTAGACTGCTGCCATGGACAACTTGGGGTTTTACCCTCGTGTCAGCCAGACTGTCTACCTGGGAAGCTGTGAGCAGTGTCCAAGAAGCAAAGGTGAGAAACCACCCTAGCCTCTGCCTTTATGGTCTACCAGAACTAAGGATACTGCCTTAGCTAACAAAGCCTCAGCTCCAAAGGACAGATGGAGCTAAGTCAACTCCTTCCTGGCTACTCCACACACACACACACACACACACACACACACACACACACACACACACACACGACAGCCATTCTTCACTTTTCTATCCCATCTGTCACCTCACCACCACCTCCCACTCAGTTCTACTGTGTCAAGAACACTTTGGCTGAAGAATGATCCATGCCTATGGAAGTAGGACCACCACCAGTTCAAGGAACCCAAGCTCCAGTTTTGAACACAGGTGTAGCAAACACACCCATCTGCCTATTGAATAAAGAGCCACAGAGCTCATAGACAAGAATCACAAACTGTTGGAAATAGGATGAACCTAGGAGACCATAGAGTGCATAATTTCTCAAACTAATTTAGCTACAAACTACTCATTTAAGCCTTGAAATTCATTGTCAGATTCCCAAAAATAATGTTCCAGTGAGTGGCAGTAATAAGGTCTGAGATTCTAAAATAGTCCCTGAGAATAAAGGAGCTGAGGAGGGGGGATTCAGGAAAATTTTAGAGCAAAATAGCTTAAATGAAGCCTCTTTGTACCAAAAAAAAAAGCAACTAATATTTATAATATATAATTTTATATTTCAGGCACAGATTTCATATTTTAGCTCAGCGTATCATATTTGAGAGAGGGAAATTGCACTTGCATTTAAATTTTCTCATGGAATCCCTAGTGTCAAACCCCTGGGCTCTGTGGAACCCAGATTAGGAAGCTCTGATCTTATGCAAGCCCCTCATTTGACTGTTGAGGGAAGCTGAGGTTCAGAGTGGTACAGTGACTGGCCCCAGGGCACACAACTGATCAATTGCAGGATCTAGACTAGAGGCTGGCTTTCCAGACCCCTAATCCAGGGCACTTTCTACTACTGTATGCTATCTGGCAGCACTGGGGAGAATGGAGGTGGGCAGAGGTTGAGGGGCCCAGGCTCCTCAGGGAGCATCATTCAGAGAGGCCTGAGCAGAAAGGCAGCCTGATGTCCCCCTTGCCCTTGGCCTTCAACTGGGTCCTGCAGATTGAGCCCAGGGAATGCCCTGCTCCTCCCCTGGGAGACCCAACAGGGAAGGAGTCAGAGCCAGCACAAGGGGTGGGCTCAGCAGCAGGACTCATCTCTGAACCACTTCCCTCGGGTTGCCTCCTTATGCTCTACCCCGATCCTCCACATCCCTGGCGGGGACAGGGAGAAGCAGGGCCCCCTGAGGCCCAGAGTGGGCAGGTAACTCAGCCTAAGTCACACAGCCAGAGCAGGCAGCACTGGGCTTTGGGCTCCCCACGACACTCAGAAGCCTTCCTCCTCAGCCAGGGAGAAGAGCACAGCCTTGGGAGTGTTCTCAAAGAGCGCGGCCCGGTTCTGTTGCTGGCCTTTCTTCACCCAGTGTCCATAGATTCGGAAGGCACAGGCATCGATGAGCTTCCTCAGCGGCCGCAGCGCGTAGGGATCTCGGAGACTATCTCTCGGGTCACTGGCTTCACCCGCCGGTACTGGTAGTAGATCCGGACTGAGGCCAGCACGGTCAAGACGATCACCTGCAGAAGAGGGAAAGGAGAGCACGACGGGAGGGACCTCTGGGGTAGCCCCCTCGCCCTTTCCTGGGGGAACCTCCTTACGTCAGTGAAGCAATGGATAGGAGAAGTCAGAGGCCCTGAATTCGAAATAAGCTCTTCCATTGCTGCTGTGACCACGGACAAGTACCTTACCCACTCTTTAGTGCTTTAGTTATTCTGTGAAATTAGTGGGCGGGCCTACATACCCATAAGGTCCCTTTCAGCTCTAAATTTATGATCTCCTGAAAGGCAATAGTAGGCACCAGCTAGACTCTCCGAAGAGCCACCAAAATCTGTATTCGAAGGCTCTGCCTCTGACCCTCTGGCTGTATGACTCTGGACAAGTCACTTAATATCTCAGGTTGGCCAAGTCTCTCTCCAAGATAATAAGGCGCCCGCCTGTACCGATGGAGGGACACCCCCATGCTGGTGAAATGATGGGTCCAGTCCTATAGCCCATCCACATTTCTGTGTTGCTTTAAGTCTACAAGGTATTTTCCTGCCAATAGCCCAGTGAAGTAGAGAATGTAAGTATTTTTATGCCCATTTTCTGTATGAGAAAGCTACAAAGCTGAGGCCAGAGAAGGGAAGTTACTTGCTGACGGTCATATGTTCTAGTAAGTGACAAAATTCTCAAGAATCATAAAGGACCTCAGAAGCTGCTTGGGCCAGCCTGAATCTGAGGGAGGCTCCCTTCTCCAATACCTAGTCTCTTTATTCAGTAGAATAAGAGGCCTATTGAGCCCCTTTGGATTGGGAAGGTGGAGGGGTCCCCAGGAGGTCAGGCTTACCCCTTCTAGCCAGTCTCAGATGAGGGAATCATCACCCACACCAGGCCCTCAGGGAATGATCTTTGTGTGACAGGACAAAGAGGGCCTCTCAGCTGATTTCTGGGGCCCCCTCTGAGGCCAGAAAGACTTGGGTTAGACTGAGATGAGAGAAGGTGGTGGAGGTCCAGAATGGACGAAGGAGTGAGAACAAGTGAGCAAGTGAGAGCAGCGTCAGGGGAATGGGAACCAAAAGGCCTCTACCTTGAACTTGCCCCTAGGACTGAAGTGACGGACTTCCTCGACCACATATTGCTGGAAAAAGGGGTGAGCCAGGGCTTCCTCAGCAGTGTACCGTTTCTGGGGGCTCAGGACCAGGAGCTGGGCGATCTGGGAAGAACCAAAGGATCCCCTCAGCAGTGCTGCAGGGCCACTCTGTGGCCCCACGCTGCAATACACAGGCTGTGCTACAGAGGGAACTTGGCATTGGGAAAACAGGAGGCTCTACTGAGTCCCTCCCTCCTCCATTCCCAGCTCTCCACCATCTTGGGGCAGAATCCCACCCATCTATGCTTCACTGTCCACCTCCTCCCCTGAAGGGACCAAGGAAGACCCTCCTTCCCCTGAGACCCCAGCATATGCAGCGTAGAACTATCCCTTCCTCCCTCCCTTCCTTCCTTTCTTCTTTTCTTCCTTCTATCCTTCCTTTCCTTCCTTACTCCCTCCCTCCCTTCTTTCTCTCCTTCCTTCCTTCCTTCATTCCATGAACTTTAAGTGCCAACTGTCCACAAAGCACTGTCCTAGGATTACAATGACAAAAACCAAAACAGCCTCTGCCCTTATGCAGCATAGATTCTACTGCAGTGGTGCAATGTGCACAGATAAGTCAATGCAAAACATGTAGGAAGTAGTAATATCCTGGTACAGTGGAAAGAATGGGGCTCTTTGAGTCACAGGGCCAAAATTCAAATCCTGTTTTCTACTACCTGTGTGACCTCAGAAAATCATGTCATTCTCTGAGCCTCATTGTCCTCATATGTTAAATTTAGAGGTGGTGCTAGATGGTTTCTAGATACATGATTCTATAAAACTAAATATGGAGTGATTTGGCTGGGGAGGCAGAGAGAGTGCTATCACCTGGGAGGGTTTTGGAAAGGCTGCCTGTAGACCAGAGGGGTCAAGCATGTGCCCTCAGGGCCCCAGGCAACACCCTGAGTGAAGGTCCACTCAGATCAAAATAGAATTGGGAAATACTTAATAAGACAAATAAAAATAGGATGCAACATGGACAATGTGAAGTTGTGGTTTTCTAAGTCAATATGTGGCTGTGGGGTTTGTTTCTAGTTGAGTTTGGCAGCAGGGAGCTGGGAATTCCAAGAGGGAGGACAGAAAAGGCTCCAAGACAGGTGCAGAGATGAGAGATGGAATAGGGGAGGGGGAGGGCTAGATGTCATCCATCTTTGGAGAACAGCCAGTAGGCTGGAAAAGTGAGCTTGAAGAGTAATATGACATTGGTCTAGAAAGAGAGGTGGAAGGAAAAGATAGCCAAGAGACAGATGCACAGACATAGATAGAGCTAGCTCTACATAGAGAAGTATATATATATACTTTATATATATATATATACTTTATATATATATACTTTATATATATATATATACTTTATATATATATACTTTATATTATATATACTTTATATATATATACTTTATATATATATATATTTTATATATATACTTTATATATATACTTATATATATATACTATATATATTACATACTTATATATATATACTTTATATATATACTATATATATACTTTATATATATATACTTTATATTTATATACTTTATATTTATATACTTTATATATATTATATATACTATATATATATACTTTATATATATATACTATATATATATATATATATATATCTCAAGATGGGGTTGGGGGGTAGATAGGTAGACAGATATAGAAGGGCTTTAAATGACAGAAGAGATTTGGAGTGTCAGAGCCAGATGGGACCTTGGAGATTATCTAGTCCATCTCCCTCATCTGACAGAGCAAAGAACTGAGGTGTACAGAAGTGACTGACCCAAGGTCACATATCTAAATAATAACACCTCCAGGGCTAGAACCCACATTTCCTGACTTCCGGTCCAATACTTTCCACGGCCCCACACTGCCTTGCTTGCTTCCTCTTCCCTCCCTGGATCCAACCTAGAAGGGAGAGCCAAGTACTCACGAGGTCCTTTACAGTGTCTGATCGGTCATCCCATTCTGGGGAGCCAAACTGGTAGTTGCCACTCATAATCATTCTCAACATCAGCATCTGCTTGCGGTGCCAGAAAGGGGGGGAGCCAGCCAGGAGGGTGTACATAATCACACCTGTGCTCCACCTGGGAGTAGAAGGGAAGGGCGGACATCATGCTGGAAGGACTCCAGACACCAGCACTCAGGGTACAGCTCCATGTTTCTTTTGAAATGTATTTTATTTACATTTCTCTCACTTCCCAATCTCTCTCTCTCTCTCTCTCTCTCTCTCTCTCTCTCTCTCTCTCTCTCTCTCTCTCTCTCTCTCTCTCTCTTTCTCTCTCTCTCTTTCTGTCTCTCTCTCTCTCTCTCTCTCTCTCTCTCTCTCTGTCTCTCTCTCTCTCTCTCTCACACACACACACACACACACACACACACACACACACACACTCTAACACCTCCACCGCTACCACTAATAGACTCTTCCCCTGTAATACAGAAGTAAAGTTGAGCAAACCAAGAGCACATATTGGCCCTGCCTGGCAGTGTATGTTTCACTCCACACCTGTAGCCCCACACTTCTCTAATAAGAAGAGTGATGCATGTTTCATCATCAATTCTCTGAAGTTAAGATTGGTCATTCTTCTTGCATTGACTTGAATTCTGTTTTCTTTTATTTTTTTTTCCTTTTCATTATTGTGCACCCTATTGTTCTTAATTTTTTTTCCTACATCTCTGTTCCTTCCAATCCCCTAAACCTCACAAGTTAATCACTGTACCCTTCTACCCATGATTTGTGACCACTCTTTACAATGACCACTCCCCTTTTCCCAGACTCACATGTCCACTTCCTTCCCATAACCAGGGTGGCTGTCATTCATGGAGCACTCAAGAATTTCAGGGGCCAGGTAGATGGGAGTCCCACACACCTCTAGCAGGAGTAGAAAGAGAAGGGGGACATTAAGGAAGAGGCTCAAACTGGGAGGGAGAAAGAAGAAAAAGGAGAAGGAGAAGGTGGAAAAGAAGGAGAATGGGGAAGAGAAGGAAGAGGAAGAAGAGAAGGGGAAGAGAGGAGGAGGAGGAGAAGGGATGAGGAAGAGAAAAACCTACAGAAAAAATATAGTTGGAGCAAGAGAACTGGACACAGTTAATCTTGGCCCAACCACTAGTCAACTCTTCAGGGGAGAAGAGCATGGAGGAGGCAAGTGACTAGTCAGGCAGCCCTGCAGCAGGCAACAGGTTGGAGAATAGGAAGAAGGTCCTGGCTGCCCCACCTCGAAGCTTCTCTCCAGGGTCCAGCTGGCAGGAGAATCCAAAGTCAGTGAGTTTGATATTCATATCATCATCTAGGAGGATGTTTTCTGGCTTCAGGTCTCTGTGTACAATGCCCAGCTTGTGCAGGTAGCAGATCACCTCCAGCAGGGCCCTCATGATCTTCCTGGTGGTGAGGGAAGGGGAGGAAATGAAGAAGGAAAAGAGAGGCCAGGGGAGGAGCTCTTCGGGTCACTCCAGCCTCTGAGCTTCAACCAGTCCTCTGCTTCAAGGTCCATGAACTTCTGAACCAGGACCCAAGCATCTGTCAGCCTCCAAGGAGGGGCTGTGGCTCTTAGAACCATCATATAGGAAAGAAGTAAGACTCCACTCTCCCTCTCCTAGATGTACATCCTGCTCACATTTCCTTGTGCAGAGAGATAGTGCCTCGCCTTACCCAACATATTCCCCAAAATCAGAAACCCTTGTACCTAGAATGTAAAAAAACATCTGGCCATTATCACTACCACCACCACCCATGCCATGTAGTTCCTCTGCTTAGAGTCCCAGTCCTGATTCCCTTCTCCTTCAACACCCCAAGAAAAGGCAGCAAAATTGGAGAGAGGCAGTTATCAGAGAGGAATCACACAGTCCTGCAATTTTGGGTTTGGCAACCTCAGAAAGCATTGAGTCCTTCATAGAAATAATAATAACTCCTAGCAGGGTAGGAAATGGAGGCAAAGAGTATCTAGTAACCGACCCCCCTCACCTGGTTTCTTTCTCACTCAAGGTGACCTTTTCAGTAAGGTAGTCAAAGAGCTCACCTTTCTTCATCCTACAGACAGGTGTTGGAGGGAGGGGAGAAGGGAGACTAGATTAGTGCACAAGACCCTCCTATTCTGCCCCATCCTACTCAAGGCATTCTCTCGTTTCCTCGTATCTTCATGGCAACCAACTAGCATAAAGTCCCAGAAGAAAAGGGGAGCTGCCACCCAACATGGGCGCAGCAGCTCAGGGTTTGGGAAAAGAAGCCTTTCCCCAAACTGTTTAACGCTAGCACCTTCCCCCTGAGATTATCTGCAATTAATCCTGAATATATATTGTTTACACCTAATTGTTTTCAGGTTCTCTTTCCCATTAGATTGTGAGCTACTTGAGGGCAGGGATTTTTTTGTTGTTGTTTTTTAATCCCCAATGCCTCAAACATAGTAAGTGCCTACAGAATGTTTGTTGACTGACTGACTGACTGACTTGACAGAGGGAGAAAGGCCGAGGTGGCAGGAAGCATAAAAGAGAGGGAAGGAATGAGAGAGAACGGTGAGATGAGAAAAATCCAGGAAGACTTTGGACCTCAGAATCTCAAGACTTGGATGGAAGCTCAGAAATCAGTCTGTGATGGTAGTGTGATGGCACAGGCTGATGGGGAATGGTGTGCCCCAGCTTACATTTATCTCACCAGTGGCCTGGTCCAGTCTGTGTGAGGTCAAGTTTCACTGGGTGATAGAGACAAGATACTCAGAGTTGAGAGCTTGGTGCATGTGAGCCAGACTCCCAGCCCTGGGGGCTCCCTGTCAGGGTGGGGTGGTAGGCAAGGTAGCACCTTCTCAGAAGACAAGGGAAGGGCTTTGGGGTTTGATACCAGATTCAATTTTTTTTCTTTTCCTTCCCCTTATTCTGCCCTTCCACCCCACCCCCATCCTAGTCACATCTGGGTGGGGTTTATAAAAATAGCCATTTAAACAACTCTCCCTGAAGGTCAGAAACACTCCAACTGCCACTTCCCTCCCCCCCTTCCTTACTCCTTCCCCTGCTGCCTACTCAGCAGCTGCGATACCATGAAGAACCAGGGGCAGCTGTGGCTAATCCTAGCCAGCGAAGCCCAGGAGTTTCTCTGTGGTTTAAAAAAAAAATGCACAAGTGGGTATGCCCACCTCATTTTCTCTGGGTTATCACCATCACCACCCCCAAGTCATGGGCCTCCTCTGGTTACAATCTCGGTCCTAATTCCCTTCTTTTTATTCCACCTTTAGCACTCCAAAAAAGGGACGTGGCTCTTGTTGCAACAAAGGAGGAGATGGTCGGTAATCAAAGAGGGATAATAGAGTCAGGGATTTGGGAACTGGAAACCTCAGAAAGCATTGGGTCCCTCATAGAATTGATAATATTAATAATAATAAAATTTATAATCACTGTTTCCATTATACCTTAAGTTTTGCCAAGTGTCTTAGATGCTTTGAGTTTCACAACAATCCTGAGAGGTAGGTACAATAGATATCACTATCCCTATTTTACAGACAGGGAAAATGAGGCCCAGAGATCAGTGACTTGCCCAAGTACCTACAGCTCGGTCAAGGTCACATAGACAGGAAAGGCAAATGCTGAAGTGGGCCAATTGGGGGAGAGGCATTTTAGGGGTACAGCCCAAGAGTTATAGAGGCATGCCTTGCTTTGTGCCTCTTCTGGGAAAGGGCTAAATTAAGATATAAACCACAATTTAGTGTTTTTCCACGCTGGGTTTTCCTAAATCGAGGCAAACCTATACTACAGTCTCTTTGAAGGAGGACTTTCCGGTATTATGGAGGCACTGAGAAGTCCCCCTTCCTGGGAAATCTGTTTGTGGGCTCAAAGAGTCCTTGATTTAGAACTAGAAGAAAGCTTTGGGACACCTAGTCCTTTGCTTTACAGCTGAGGATAGGGAGAGGTGGTGACGTGACCTGCCCCGGAATCACACAGCTTACTACATCTTCAGACATCGGGACCCGAGACCATCCCACTCCATGACATTGGTCTTGTCTGTCTGGACCATGCTGTTCAGAAGCAGATCACTGCTCTTCTCTCAGCCTCACTTTCCCCCACCGTAAAATGAGAAGCTTGGACTAGATGAGATCTATCATCCTCTGATCTCTAAGGTGCCTTCCAGCTCTGAATCTTGCAAGGCTAAAAACGGATGAGATGTCCCTGGGTGAGCTACAATTAGAGTTCCTATTTTTATAGCATTAAAGTGTTAGTTTTCTTGCTGTGAATTCAACAGTATAACTATTATTGTTCCCATTTTACAGAAGAGGAAACTGAGGTTCTAGAGGCAGGGTGACTTACTGCTAAGAGGACAAGCCAGGATGAGAAGATGGATTTTCAGAGCCCACATCCAAGGCTCATTTCCCTGCATCATGCTGCATCATGGCATAGAACTGGAAGGGTCTTGGGGACTGGCTCCCTCCAGTAGAAATCAGGAATGGCTAACTCTGAGACCCCCCCTACCCCTGCCTGGGAGAATGGCTGGCTATGGGGGCCAGGTACTCACAGGTCAAACACCAGGAAGAAGAAAGTGTTGGTCTCATAAGTGTCCTTCAGCTGGACTGTAATGGAAATGACCAGCTAGCTTCAGGCTGCAGAGAAGATGTTGTTTGGGGGAAGGATGCAAGGAGGGGGACTGGGTCAAGGGCCCTGGAAAGGTCAGATGTGGAGGATGGTAGTAAGGGGAGCTTTAGTGCAGGATCCGATTGGGCTTGAACTGGGGACGGTGGTTGCGGGCAAAGGTGCCCATAGCTGTTTCTTTATGCTTTCCAGGCATCTGGCCAGAAGCTTGGCCTGATTTCATCCCTCCACCAGCTCCCACTCCCCATCCCTACCTCTACCTGCAGCCAGCCCTGCCCATGTGCTTGAAGAAAAGGGAAGAGGGTTTGGGGAAAGCTGGAAAGGCTGGGTCTTCATGCCTGACTGAGAGAGAAGGCCAGGCTAAGCCTTCTCTCCTGGGTGAGAGTTCACTATTTAGGGTTCTCAGATCTCAGGAAGATAGCTTGACTGGGTCTATATGGGCAATGAAAATTAAGGAACTGATACAATTACCTGGATATTTCAGGCAAAAACAAAAAGGTATTTCTAATTATCCCAGTTTTATGTCTTGGGGGTACAGCTATAGACTGACTATCCTTGGTTCCCCTCTCATGGCACCCATCCCACCTCCTCATCCTCCAGCACCTGGCTTTTGCCCCACCCTCCCCCGAACCCTCCCTCTCCCTGGTCAGAGGATGGCAGCTGAGGGTGGGGGGACTCACTGACGTTGGGGTGCCCGGAGACCTTGCGCAAGATGTCGATTTCCTTGATGGTGGCCTCCCGCAGCTCCTGGATCTCCTCAGGGTTCAGGCTGCCAGCGGTGATGTCAATAATCTTCACCGCATATTCCTCCCTGGTCATCTTGTGGATACAGCGTCTCACCACGCTGCTCACGCCCCTGGAAAAAGAGGCTTCTCTGGGGAGGGGGCAGGCATCTCCAGAAATTTGAAGGAGGGGGTCAGCCCACCAAAAGGGAGATGATACTTTACAGGTAAGAAAAGAGAACTCCAGAGAGGGTCAATATTTCATTTAAGGTCCCACAGCAGAGTTGAGACTAGAATCACGTCCAGAGCTGAAAGGAATCTCACTGCTAGCTAGTCCTACCCTGTCATTATAAAAAGGAGCCATCTGAGTCTTGTGGAGGTAAAAATGCTTGTCCAGGGTCGCACAGGTAGGAAACATCAGAGGGAAGTTTTGAACCCAGGTCCTCTGACTCCAAAGTTAGTGCTCTTCCCAAGATGCCGTGAATCTAGGGTCCTAATTTGTAGCCCAAGTCTCTCCATCAAGCTATGCGTTGGGACCAGAAACCCCTTTCCCCTAACTAAGGCTGGGTTCGAGTGGGCAGAGACAGAATAACCCTAACTTTTGAAGGGAGGGGAACATCTGGACTGGTCTTTATCCCCTTTGCTTGCCTGGTACATGAGGTCCAGAGCCCCAGTTAGAAGAGTTCCAAAGAGGGAAAAGGACCAGCAGTGGGTGGATTCAGAGAGAGAGAGATCACCCATGGAAAGGCCTGAGCTCTCAAGGAAGTTTAGGGGAAGGGTCTGGAGGAAAGGGATCTTACCTCCCCAGGATCTCTTTGGGCTCATATTTCTCATAGAACACCTGGGCAGCATTTGAGTCTGGCAGCCCTTCATCCCGGGTCATGATCTGTTCTTCAAAAGGTGGTGCCAACTGGGCTTACTGGAGGAGAAAGAGATTAAGGCTTAGGGGGAGGGGACAGTAGACAGAGAGTTCCCATAGGCAAAGTTGTGAAGTCAGCCAAGTCTGACTCTGGTGCCCTCTCACCTCCTCTTTCAGTCCTGGATAACTGGCTCCACCCCTCCTCACCCCCACCATCTCAAGAAAGAACCTTCATATTTTTTCCCCTCTTCCACCATCCCAGTTGGCTGTCCCCTTGGGAAGGAATTGACAAATAATTCACACCAAGGCAAGAGTCCTTCACCATATACATATGTGTGTGTTGGCCCCTTTGGGCAGTCTGGTGAAGCTTATGCACCGCTTCTCAGAATCATGTTTTAAAACACATAAAATAAGATCCAAAGGTTAACAAAGGCAGCCAATTACATCAAAAGTTATCAAAATTTTTATTTTTTAAAAGTTCACAGAACCAAAGATTATGAACTCCCAGCACTAATGTGTTAAAGCCCCTTAATGAATTAATACTGTATTTGTGATTTAACAAGGGCAATCCATCAATCAACAAGCATTTATTAAGTGCTTGCTGTGTTCCAGGCTTGCTGTGTGCTAGGTGCTGAGGATACTAAGGCAAAACCAAAAAGGATCCCTGCCCTCAGGGAGCCACCATTCCATCGTGGAAACAACACATTGGAGTGGTTAAGTCAGTTCAAAATACGTGCAAATACAAGGTGTGGCCTGCGGTCTAAGGGTCACAGGGCTCACAGGTAGCTGGATACATCTTGACCTCAGAAAGACCTTTGTATTATTGCCCCAGGCTGGAGAACTCCAGGAAAATGTGTAGCTTGGGTCTGTTTCTCTAAATGTGAGCAACAGGGTCCCCCACACCCAGACATATCGTGTAGGGGGCAATCTTTGTTTCACCCCCACACCAAATGTTAAGGTGCCAAAGAGTCCCAGGAGTTTACGGATAGACATGAAAACACATAAAGTTCTCCAATACCTAATAGACTGCCCCATCACCCACTGTCACTGAAGAGTCACACCCTTTGGAGGAACTGCTAAACAAGTAAGCCCTGCCTTGCCCTAGCAACTCGAGGAAATGGCTGGGACAGTGCCTTAACTTCCCGGAAAAAGCGGCCCCTTCCATTCCCAGAGAGCCTTAGCTGCTAGGAAGTTTTTCCTAACATTGAACTAGAACGTTGCTCTTGTCTACTTCCACTCTGATCTTGGCTCTGCTATCTGGAGTCAAGCAGGACAAGACTCCTCTTCCATGTGAGACCCCTTTAAGTCCTCCAAAACAGAACACACGCCTTCCTTCCCCCACCCCAGTCTTCTCCTCTACAGGCTAAACATTCACTAGTTCCTCAGATTTGAACCAGTCCTCACATTGCATAAACACAAAGCCCTTGACCATCCTAGCTGCTCTCATCAGGACACTCTCCAGCTCATTAATATCCTCCCTAAAATAGGGCCCTCTGAACTCAAAATACTACAGGCTTCTTCATCACTGGACCACAGAGCCAGCTGAACTGCTAAGGCCCAGCCTAACTCAGTTCGAGATGCCAGTCACCACGTTGGCCAAAGGGTTTTGTTGTCATTCAATCATTTCAGTCACGGCCAACCCTTCATGACCCCATTCAGGGTTTTCTTGGTAAAGATACCAGAGTGTTTACCATTTCCTTCTCCAGCTTGTTTCACAGATGAGGAAACTGAGACAAACAGGGTGAAGTGACTTGCCCAAAGCCACACAGCTGTAAGTGTCTGAGGCTGGATTTGAACTCATGAAGAGGAGTCTTCCTGACTCCAGGGCTTCTGCTCTATCCATGGTGCCACCTAGCTGGCCAAAGGGTAATGAATATCAAAGCCAAAGAGTCTATGTTGACGGCAGGATGACCAACATTGAGGAAATATTGATGCATTCTGCCTTAGACAAAAGTGACTGATCAGTCTTAGAGGACCCCTAGGCGAAAAGATGTTTCAAATAAAAAACCATTTTGGGGCGTCTTCAGCTCTTCCTGCAAGCTTGGTGCCGCTGTCCGCTGCTACAGCCACGCCCCGGAGACAAAGTAGAGGAGTCAACAGAATCAGTGGAGTTGCTTATTTGGGAACCTGGTGACCAAGGCTACAGGCATCTCAGGCAGGGTAGATATTGTGGCTATCAGTTGTGCCTCCGTTGATCACAACGCATGGTTTAAAATGACCCCACCCATGAGGAGTTCAAGGATACCTTCAAGGCTGAAAATGGAAAGCTGGCAATGATTGGGAAGTGATTGCTATATTCCAGGAATGTGGGCCCACCAATGTTAAATGGGGAGCTGCTGATGCCAAGAATACTGGAGAGTCCACTGGTGTCTTTACCACCTTGGAAAAGGCTGGGGTTCACTTGAAGGATACAGCTAAACATGTCACCATCTCTGCCCCTTCTTCAAAAGGCCTACGTGCCTGGACTGAACCATAATTTCCTTAGGATGATCAGTGGTCCCTTCTGCCCTACCAACTGCTTGGCCCCACCTATCCAAGGTCCTTCATGACAGCTTGACATTGTAGGGGGGACTCATAACTACAGTATATGCTTTTATTGCTAAGTAGGAAACAAATTATGGGGTGATGGGCATCATGTTGACCAGAGTATCACCCTGCTTCCACCAGTGTTACTAAGCCTATAGAAAAGGTCAGTGCTCATAGGCATGGTCATCCATGTCCTTAGCCCCAGCGTATCTATCATGAATCTGACCTGCTGCCTGGAGAAACCTGCCAAATATGCTGAAATCAAGAAAGCAATGAAGCAACATCATAGGGGCCTTTGAGTAATCTTGGCATTGGTACATTACACAGGGCATTGGCATCGGTATTGTCCTCAATGGACATTTTGTCAGGCTTATTTCCTGGTGTGGCAATATATAAAGTTATAGCAGATGGGTAGAGGACCTCATGGACTCCATGGCCTCCAGGGAGAAAGCAGAAAGCCACGGATATCTTCATGCCTACCAAAACAGGTGTTTCACTATGGGGGAGCCCCTATCCCAAATCAGAGCTGTAGATAACAGACATAGCTATGGACATAGATATAGATAGTGATATCGATATAAACATATCTATTATAGATATGGGTATCAGTTACAGATATGAATATGAATACTGACGTAGATGGTGATATTGATATAAATATACAGATATAGATTACAGATATGGGTATCAATTATCAATACAGATATGAATACAGATATGGACATAGCTATAGGTAACACAGATATAGATGTGGATGTAGACATCGATGTGTATATACAGGGCATCTCAAAAGTCTTAGTGTGGTTTTTAGCTTCATAAACTTTAATAGCTTCAAAGTGTACTAAGACCTTTAGGACATTCTGTAGATGGGCACACAGGTCTAGAGAAGGAAGGGACCTACGGTGATCTAGTCTGAGACTGTCATTTCAGAAGAGAGGGTGCTGAGATCAAGACAGGTAAAGAAACTGACCCAAGGATATGGATAGAACAGATACTGAGCACAGGTACAATAACTCCAAGCTCAGAACTCCAAGTCTGGCTGTCTACTACAAGATGTTCCCACCATAATACTACAATCTAATTGGTCTATGGGCAGCTGGGTAACGCAGTGGATAGAGTGCTAGGCCTGGAGCCAGGAAGATCTGAGTTCAAATTTGGCCTTGTATATGTACTTACTAGCTGTGTGACCCTGGGCAAGTCATTTCATGCTGTTTGCCTCAGTTTCTTCATCTGTAAAATGATCTGGAGAAGGAAATGGCAAACCATTCCAATATCTTTGCCAAGAAAACCCCGAATGGGGTTGCAAGCATCGGACATGACTGAAAACAACTGGACAATGATAAATTGAGGATATGATACCCCTGTACCGATAACTGCAAGAAAGGGAAAGAATGAGTTAAGGGCCCAGGAGAAGTATTCCCAGAGTCCTCTGCAGCTTGGAGGAAGGAGGGTTCACTTCCAGCTAGGGAGGGAGGGAGGGAGGGGAGCTGAGTTGGCTTTCATGGCCTTGAATTGAGTAAGGAAGCAAGGCCAGGACTCCCCTGTCACCCCCTCATTCAGCTTTCTTATAGATAGAATGAAAGGGTTAGATTGGATGCCTTTCTAAGGATTCCCCTCCCCCCCGCCCTGGCTAAATCCACAGTCCCATGAACTGGGCTGGGGTGGTGTAGAGGGAGAGATCTGGAAAGGCTCCTGGTGATCTCCAGGATGGCCCTTTGAGGTGATCTAGGCAGAGGGAGGGGGATGGGCAGGGATGGAGGGGAGGGGAGGGGAGAGCATTCTTAGCTGAGGGAATGGCTCTCAGGTTCTCAGTAAATGTTTGCTGGTTGCTGATGGCCTTGTGGCCTCTGACCCAATGTCCGTGGCAGCTTGGGTCTCAGGCAGATGGCCCTTTTGCCAAGTTAATAAATTGACCAGACTTAGGTCTCAGAAAAGTGGCTTCCCCCTTCCTGCCCTGCCCCACGTGGTCTGCATCCATCCTAGCAGATTCTCTGGCTCTGGCCCCTGAGGCTGGCCCAGGGGCTCCTCCTCAGGAGGGTCAGTCAGGCCCAGAAACATGGGAGGGGACAGAGGCTCCTGAGGGGTGGTCCTCCTCCCCTCCCCCAACACCAGATCTGTCTGAAGGCCAGAAATGGGAGAACCAAGGGAGAAGAGATGAAAGGGAAGAGCTGGAAGACAGAGGGAAGGGCCTCCAGGAATGGAGCACAGCTCCACTGTGGCCCCCTTGGCAGGCCTCCCATGGCTCCCCCCACCCCTGGCACAGAGGGCCTGGCTTCCCCTCCCCGAGGCCTGCTCAGCTCAGTCTCAGAAAGGAGCCTGACAAACAGGCCTTTCTGCTGACTGGCCCGAATGTCAGCCCGGGCTGTGTCAGGGACTTGGGATCTTGGCTGGTCCAAGAGGTTCTTGTGCCCTTAGCTCAGGGCCTGGTTACTGAGGGAGGGTTTAGAATAACAGCAGCAGCAGCAGCAGCAGCATCTCCCAGAGCTGGGGAGATCAGCCCTGCCCCCTTCCTGATGGGACCACACACACACACA